CTCTACCAGCCTCCGTGAATGCCTCCAGCCTGACCGCCAGTGCCTGTGGCCTTGCCTGTATCCGCGTGTCTCTAGTCTGGGGTCCTCATCTGTGACGTGGTGGTGGTCAGGGCTCTGAATGCTCGAGAACGCCCTGCACATGCAGCCTCACATCAGAGCTGGGCGGGGGCTGGGCTCAAGCACGGAGCATCTCGAGGCATCAGGAGGACCCAGACCCCAGCAGCGTGACGGCTCTCACCTACCTGGATTGGCCAACTCTGGGACTGACCAGCAGGTGGACTGACTTCCGGGTGACGTGGTGGCTGTCCTCAGAGGTGACTGGGCTTGTGGACGTGAACTAGAGGTGGGCACAGGCCTATGGAGGCGAGAGGGGCAGCCTCGTGTAGAGGCAGAAGCAGCAGCCCCCCCGCCAAGGTCACAGCCAAGTGTCAGCACCGGTCCCTGGGAGCTCACCCCGCTGGGCACTGTTCCCATTCTACAGATGAGGAAAGTGAGGTTCAGAGCACACAGCTCCGTCCTGACCACACAGCAGTCAAGCTCAGGGCTCAGGCCCCTCTGGGGTGGGGAGCGGTCTGGGTGCCGCCTGAGGACTGGCCACCTTTCTGGCAGTGGCCCCTTCGGAAAAGCCAAAGACACAAAAATTGCGCACCCGCACCTGCCCCCAGGGTCCCCAAACTTAGGAAAGAGGACTGTGTCCTCATCCTTTTGGAGGATGCAGAGAACACAGAACCTAAGGATGTTCTCCTTGTAAGATTCCTCAGGGCCCTGCAGGCCTCACCCCAGGTGTGTGTCGTCACCTCCAGACACACTGGTTCGGGGGGTGTGTGTGTGAATGTATGAGTGGCTGGGGTGCAGGCCTTGGATCCGAGGATGGGCAGACTGAGGCCCCAAGAGGAGACAGGAGACCTCACTGCTCTGGCCCAGGGAGCTCTCTGATACCAGTGGGGGCTCTGGCCCAGCAGCCAGAGAGGGAGTGGGCGGAGGTTGGAGCTGAGATGGCCTGGGGTGTCCTGGGCTCCTGCATGCCCCCAGCCCTCAGGCTGTGGCCACACCACTTGATGCCCTTGGCCCTGGGCATCTCAAGTCTTGGATGTGCCGTCCTAATCTCAGGGCCACCAGCTTTAATGGGCAGACACGGGAGAACATACTGGGGCGGCGGATGGATTAGCTGGGAGGGCGTGCTTCTTACACCTTCACATCACAACCAACCATGCTCAGGGCAAGGGACGGAGACGTGCCCCCCGGGCATGGGGGTGGGGGGGGTCTCCATCTCCGGCAGCCCCCAGCAGCCCTTCTCAGCCCGGGTTTTGCCCGGCTGTCAGCTAGATTGCTGGATTTTTTTGGGGGGGTGGGCACTGCCTGCAGCCACCCTGGGATCATCGGGGAGCGGCCTGGCCTGGCCTGTCTGGGTCAGGTCCCTAACTGGCTTCAGTCTGGTTGTTGTGGAGCCAGGCGGAGCGGCCTCACGTGGCAGAGGCGGTGGGGGATTACAGCGTGAAGGGTGACGGTGTCAGAGAGATGCGGGAAAGCAAAGGGCTTATTAAAACGCTGAAATTGGTTCCAAATGAGGTCAGCCGTCGAAGCGCCTTGGTGGAGAGCCAGGCGCTGAGCAGTGAACAGTGTCTGTTTCCTGACAGGGTGGCAGCGGCGCCCAGGGTGCCACCCCTCCCCCACCCCCGCTTCCGGAGGGCACAATGCGGGGGGTGGAAGCAGGGGGGCAGCACGCCCACCCCCGCCCTGAGAGCACCTGGGGCGGGACAGCATTGACAGTGCCCAAAGGGCGCCTGGGGTGGGCAGGAGTCTCACTGACACGGGCTGGGGCAGGACCGCTGAGTTCTGCTTCCTTATTCCAGGTCGGATTGCTTGTTTTTTAAAATCCATTAATGCAAGGAACGGCACATCGTGGCAGAGGCCACCTGATTGGACCAGCTCCCTCCCACCCCCAGCCGAGCCCAGAGCCTCCACAGTTTTTCTCCCTGCTTGAATTTCTCCTCCGAGCATCCCTTCCTTCTGACTCCAGTGGAACTTCCCTGACCTTGGCTGTGTCCGGGTACAGCTCCCCTGCCTAAGAGTGCACTCTGGGGTCCTTGATCTGGGCGCCAGGCCGGCCCTGTCCCCGACGGCACAACGCTGCCCCTCTCTGAAACTTGGTCTCGTGTCTGAGGACAGTCACAGATCGGGCACCCAAGGCCGGTGGGGCTGGAACGAGACAAGTAGGTGAAGGAATGGCCGTGGACACGATTTCTATCTCCTGTTAATTGCCTGGCCTGCGTTCCAGCCCAGTTCTGAGCTGGAGGAAGAGAATGCCTTTTGAATCCTGTTAAGAATAAACATGTGTTCATAGCACGCTGCTGAGAGCCATGCAGACCTTTTCTCCTCGGCTCTTGGAGCAACTGTTGATCTCACCCGCATCCAGAGAGGAACGGGCCCGAGGTCCGCCGCAGGGCTGCTGACTCCAATCCTGGGCCCTTGCTGCCAGGCCTCACACCTCTCAATCCCCAGCTCCCTGGGGGAGAAGGGAGGCGGAGGGATAAACTATTGTGTCGTCCAGCTCCTCCGTCTCCAGATGGGCTGGGGATCTGGTGGGGAAAGGCTTCTGTGGGGAGGCCCAGCCGGGACTCAGCAGGGGTGGAGCGGGGTCCAGACGCGGACCTTCGACCCTTTGGTGGTGCAGGATGAGCCCTTGGGGTCCCACTACCCAGGGAGAGATGCTCGTTCTGTCTGTCTTCTAGCCGGAGCCACGTGGATGGCCAGGAGGCTCAGCCAGAGCCAGGGCTGCCGTGGAGCCCAGTCACCCTCGCTTTGCACCTGCTGGCTTTGTTCCCGTGCCCGCCGGGAACACGGTGTCCGCCTAAGCTGCCTGTCTCACCTCCTCCCCGTGGCTGCTCCCTGGTCGTGGCGGGGGCTGGCGAAGGTCCACAGTATCATGGGATCCCAAATGCTACACGCCTGCTTAGGCACCACAGATGGGGAAGTTTGGGCAACATTTTAAAGAATGAGGCGGTGCCCTGTGGGGCGAGGCCTTCGGAGCCTGGTCTGGGGTCTCCCCTGGCCCGTGCCCAGCTGTCTCCTGTGCAAGACAGCATTACCTAAAGGCCTTTGGGATTGATCCTGTAGCCTGACACCCCTGGTGCCCCCCCACCAACCATGGGAACACTGTCCTGCCAGGCTCTACCTGAGTCCCTGCCCAGGCTCCAGGAAGCGCAGCTGCCACCCCAGGCCAAGGGACATCCCTGGGCTCTGTGTTGTCGCTTGTGCCGAGGGTCTGCAGCTTCCCCAGCCCCAGAGGGCCTGCTCTGGTGGCCCATTATCCTTCCACATCTTTCCCCAGGCCCAGGACGGGGGGCCTGTGGTGGCATCCTGCACTCATTCATGTATTCACTCACTCAGCCCTTTATTTTGCTCCAGCTCTGTGCTGCCCTGGGGAACGGGCCCCAGCGGTGTGGGTGGGCAGGCAGTCCCTGCCCCATGGAGAACAGCTATTGTGGTGTCGGCTGCATGAGTGACGTGCCCTATAACACCTCCACCCTGTGTGCAGTCAAGGTGGGGGGGGGGGATCCCGCGGCCTTTTGTAGCATCTTTCCTTCTTTGGCCCTGTTTGCAGGGCAGCCCGGCCTCTGGGAAGCAGAGACCAGCACCCACCAGGACCAGGGGAGGGGACCTTGCTCCAGATTTCATACTCATGCAGAGACACAGTCATTCCTTCCTAAGGAACAGAGTTCAGAGCAAAAACAGAGCCTGCTGCTGCAAGCTCTGGGCTAGCCTTTGTCACTATTTGAGGATTTGTGGGTATTTGAAGACGATATTGTGGATACTGAGGATATTGGTCAAGTTCTTGGTTTCTCCGGAGAGAAGAGGAATTGGAGGAGGAAGAAAGAAGGAAGGGAGTCAGATTCCTGGACGGAGGAGACCAAGTTCAGAGCAGAAGGCAATCAGGGACAACTTCCTGGAGGTGACGGCACAAGTCAAGTCCACTCTGCACAGAGAAGGACAGGAGTGAGCTGGGATGCAGACACACTGACACATGGGGCTTGCAGAGCTGTGAGTCCCAACGGGCCTGTGCAAAGGCTCTGTGTTGTGTGCGGGAGAAACCACGCAATTGGCCGGCGGCCCTGGGAGGGTTCAAATTCAGTCGGGGTCCACTCCAGGCTAAAGGACATTGTGGGCTTTGGAGCTTTGGAGACAGGGAAGCAGGCCTGTCACTCACATCCCTTTCTGCAAAGTCTGTTTCCCCCAAGAAGTGTGCCCTGCAATCTACCCCTCGGCAAGGCATCAATGAAGATGTCTGCCCCCCAGCAATGTACCCTGCTGTCTGGGGCCCCCAGAAATCCACCTGCAATCTGCCCCCACCCCCAGCAGTATACCCACTCCTTCTGGAGCAGCTGTGGCACCAGCTGGAGCCTGTGGGGAAATCGAGAGAAGACAAAAGTGGGAACAGCAGGCCATGGAGAGAGTGTTTAAACACAGGGACTATTTGGGGATCGTCTTTTATTTTTAGTTTGAAATCGGTCCACCCTCCAGTATTATATTATAGAAACAGCTCCCTGGGCCTGCGGCAGTGAGGTCTCATCACTCACTGGTCACCTTGGAAATAAGCCCTCGGAGCCTCAGTCTGCCCATCCACGGTGGAGCAGCACACGGGCCCAATCCGTCAGCTCTGCGGGGACAGGCCCAGGCAGCCAGCCTGGTGGTCAGCCCAGCGCCTGGCTGGAGGCCGCCTGCAGGGAGGAGCCCTTTCCGGACACCTCTCAGAGACTATTCAGAGGGAATGAAACCAGCCTGTCTGCTTCAATTCCCATTGATGGTGTCCATGTGTCATTAGTGCCAATTAGGAGAAGCAAGGGCAGCAAAGCGTTTGGCCTGGGGCCCGGCCTGGTGGGAGGGTCACTGGGACAATTGAATTCCCCACCAGACAAATGTGATTACCGGTGGAGCCTGGGCCCACCCCCTGCGGGGCCGAGACATAAATGGCCAGGTGGGGCGGCCAAGCTCACGCAGCCATGCAGGTCCCCAGCCCCAGCGTGCGTGAGGCGGCCTCCATGTACGGCACAGCGGTGGCCGTCTTCCTGGTCATCCTGGTGGCCGCACTGCAGGGCTCGGCACCCCCCGAGAGCCCCTTCCCCTACCGCATCCCCCTGGACCCCGAGGGGACCCTGGAGCTGTCGTGGAATGTCAGCTACGTGCAGGAGACTGTCCACTTCCAGCTCCTGGTGCGGGAACTCAAGGCCGGCGTCCTGTTTGGGATGTCGGACCGCGGCGAGCTGGAGAACGCCGACCTGGTCGTGCTCTGGACTGACGGGGACAGTGCCCACTTTGGGGTGAGTCTTCCCTCCTCAGTGCTCCTGAGCTTGCCTTTTCCTCTACTCTCACCGTCCTTAACCTGGCAAAGGAAGTCTCCCTTCTGCCTCTCTGGTCACGTTTACTCTGAGCATCCCTTGTGTCCCAAGCTTGGGCATCTCGGGGATGCTGATGTGAGGACAAAATGGGAAATAGATGACTTCCACGGTCCTTGACTGCACACCCCAAATGACAGAGCTCAGCGTGCCCAAGGAGCACAGCCGCACACGAAGGACACGCTTGCCACATAAACACACGTTCTCCACTGCCCCTGCCCTCGGGAGGGCGGCCCCCACGTACCCATCCGCACGAACAAGGCCCAGAGGTCACGTGCGGCCAAGCACGGTGGCTGGCCTCCCTGCCCACTGCCAAGGATGCGGTGCTGGCACATGTGGGTAACCTGAGCAGGTGCAGACTCCCCGGCCCCCAACCCAGGCATGGAACGAACCGTCCGTGGAGTTAAGCCAGGACGCTGAGGGCGTATGCTTCACTCCACGCCTCAAATTCACCCCCATTCTTGCCAGAAAGGGCGAAGGAGGGGGGGGAGGTTTCCCTTTAAAGGAGAGAGGTTTTGGGGGCCCTCGACAAGCTGAAGGGAGGCCCTCGGGGTTGGGGGAGCCTGGCCACCTTGCCCTGAGCCGCCACCCTACATTCTTCCACCTTGACCTCTCTGGGGACCAAACCCAACTCTCTCATGGAAACAGACGCAGGAGGGTTAAAACAGTTTTTAAGTCAGGAGGCACTTTATCTGTGAGCAGAGGGGCTCTTACTTCAGTTAAGTGTGGGAATCCAGCGGAGCACCGAGCCAGGGTCAGGAGAGGCCCCCGGACCTCGCGTGCCTCATCTGCAGAGTGGGTACAATATTCCCTCTCCACCTTCTTGGGATGTGTGAGTTCACACGAGCTGGTCTTTCTGGAAGCCGGTGGTGCCCTGTCCAACCCCTGCCACAACTCCGCAGGCAGGAAGGAGCTCTGCCCGCTTCCCAGGGGAGGGTGGGTGAGCCCGACCACCAGCCAGACGGTGTGGGGCCTCCTGGGCCCCGGGCTGTCCCACCTCTCCTACACCAGGACGCTCAGTGGCTACGGGTCACAGCCAAGAGAGACCCGGGCAGCGCACTTCGGAGCCGGTCCCAGAGGAGCCGCCAAGCCCGGGAGCAGCTTCCCCGGCTGCCAAGAGAGCTGGGGTCACTTGGTCCTCCGGCACAGGCAGGATTAATTTGCACAACAAATTCCTATGCAAACAAATGTCAGACTTGTTTTTGCTCCTTTAGCAGTACGTTCAACAATTACATTCTAGATTTCCAGCCGCAGGATTACAAGCTGACTTTCTGCTTCTGTTTAAAATGAGTCTTTCTGCAGATCAGCAGTGTATCCCCTCACGAGCTTCGCCGTGGTGCTTTTCTCTAGGGAACATGTGGCAAAATCCTTTGCAGGTTTCCTTTTTGCTCAAGGAAATGAGGAAAACATGCTTCAGCCCTGGATGCAGGGTTTAAGAAAATCCTAAGGCCAAGGACTGGTGGTCCCGTGTTGTTCCTGAACTGGAATAGCGGCCCGCTTGTCGGGGGCAGGGTTTCCCTCACAGCCTCCTTGCCAGGTGGATGGCTTTCCGGGCCCTGGCCTGGAGCCCCGGCGTGGCCGAGCCTTAGAGCTGGGTGCCCGGGAAACAGCTAGGGGGAGGGGAGGGCAGGGTCGGGCCAGAACCGCCACCCTCGGACATCCTGGGGAAATGCAGCGGGTCCGTTTCCTCCTGGGCCTCGGTTTACCCTCTCCGGGCAAGGCTAGGACTAGGGCGAGGTGGGCAAGATGCTGGGGGGTGGGGGGCGGCGTTTCAGGCGGGCTCACTCTCAGGGGTGTGCAAGTGCGGGGTGGGCCCCCCCAAACCCTCTCCGAGGCTCCGTGTGCTGTTAGGGTCCCTCCCTCCACAGACCAAAGGCGATTCTTTGTCTAAGGCTCCACATTCCCGATCATGGCACCTCCTTCGTGATACAGGCTCCTGGGTCCCACGCAGAGGTCTGGGAACCTGCATGGCTAACCAGCCCCAGTGAGTCCTGGCTGGCGTTTGAGGCCGTGTGTCAAGGGCACAGAGGAAGAGAGTGGGGTTGGAGGTCAACTCCACTGTCTCAGGCAGACACCGAGTGTGGGCGTGACGCGCACCCTGGGCAGAGCCCCAGGACGAGGTGTGTCCAGGGGCTGCACCGCGGGTGGCCAACCCTGAACTCTGGCCCCACGGCTCGGCCCCTTGTGCTCCGAGCCCGCCCTTGCCTCTACAGGACGCCTGGAGTGACCAGAAGGGGCAGATCCATCTGGACGCCCAGCAGGATTACCAGCTGCTGCGGGCACAGAGGACCCGGGAAGGCCTGTCCCTGCTGTTCAAGAGGCCCTTTGGCACCTGTGACCCCAAGGATTACCTCATCGAGGTGGGTGGCAGCCCGCTTTCCCAGGAGACCGTGGGCTGCGTGGAGCCCTCCCGCATCCCAGGGCGGTATCCCTGGGCCAGCCGTACACAGAGAGCGTGGATTCCAGAGGCGGCTGGGTGGGGACAAGGCAGGTCGGGAGAGACCAGCTCTGCCATCGGCGTCTGATCGCGCAAGCAAGCAGCTCTTGGTTGACACATAGCTGACGTGTTTCTAGATGTTGGTCTCGCCCCGAAGCTTTCAGACGGGGACCTGAGTGGTCTTCCTCCTGACTAGTTCTCTCTTCCTGGTCCAGCGTCTTCAGAAGAATTCTGGAAAGAGCCCAGGAGACTTGGTTTCCCAGACTGGCTCTGTGGCCAATGGGCTGTGAGGCTCAGGGCAGGTCCCCTCCTCCTCTGGGCCTCAGTTTACCTGTCTGTAAAAGGAGAAAAGGGAATTAGATGATCTGTAAGGCTCGACCTGCTCTGTCTAGGCATTCACAGCCGCAACAGATCTAAAAATCCGTAGGCTTCTCACGCTGCTCCAAGACCCTTAGGGAAAAACAAACCAGTTAATCTCCTGAAGGCAAAATCCTTTCCGCTTTCCAATGCACCTTGACACCCAAAGTCTGTGTTATCTTCATGGCGTGTCAGTGACATGGGCTGGCCCAGTGCTACACGAGGAAACTGAGGCCAGACAGGGGAGGACTTGCCCAGGGACACACGGCAGAGAGGGGACAGAGCTGGAGCCAGAGGAAGTGTCCTTCCAGAAGGAGGTCTGAGTCCTTTACCCTCCTGGCTCACCTTCCCCACGGACAAGGGCAAGGGCAGGCAGAGGACCCTCTCCCAGAACTTTGCACGGCGTCTGGTGCCAACGTGTGCTCAGCTCAGAGCCTCCAGCCTGGGTGTGGGGAAGCCTCCTGCCTGGAGCTCTGAGACACCTGTGCAGAGAACAGCCCTGTCCCCAGTGACCCTGGGAGTGGTGGAGGGAACACATGTCCCATGCCTGGCTGGGTGAGCCAGCCAGCCTGGTTCACAGCGACCCAGCAATGGTTAGTTGAATGGATGCTAAGCAAATGTAGATAAAAAGCATTTAAGAAGACAACATGTATTAATGGCTGGTGCAAACCGTGGGCTCTGCGGGTGGTCAGCCTTGGATTTAATCCCAGCCAGGTCCACACAGAGCCTCAAAGCTCCCCTCCTTCAGAGAGGTGAGAATCGGGCATGTCACCAGCCAGGCGAGGGTGGGTAGGGACCTGGCGTCTCCCCGGTTACCAGGAGCCCGACGCTGGGGGTGTGAGTGGACGAGTGCCGGGCTCTGTCTCGCCTGCAGGACGGCACCGTCCACTTGGTGTATGGGATCCTGGAAGAGCCGTTCCAGTCACTGGAGGCCATCAATGTCTCCAGCCTGCAGACGGGGCTGCAGAGGGTGCAGCTGCTGAAGCCCAACATCTCCATCCCGGCCCTGCCCTCGGACATGCGCGCCATGGAGATCCGCGCCCCAGACGTCCTGGTCCCGGGCCAGGAAACCACGTACTGGTGTTACATCACTGAGCTCCCGGACGGCTTTTCTCGGCACCACATCGTCATGGTACGTGGGCCCAGTCCTATCCCAGCTCTGCCTCCCCCCTGGGGCCTCAGAGGTGTCCCGCCCTGGGGAGCTGTCCATGGTCCTGCTTGGACCAGTGACCTCTGTGGTGTGGACACCAGGCAGGGTCTGAACTTTCTGCAGCCACAAGTGTGCTCTGACCACCGCCCCACCCCATCACCCTGCTCACTCCCCACCCTCCCAGGGCTGCTGCAGCCCAGCTTCCCAGCCTGGACCAAAGGCAACTGATGTCTTGATTTTTGCATCTTATCTTGGGACTGGAATGGCTGTCTAGCTATTTATCTGTCCGTCGGGACACCCTCCTCCTTCATGAAATAACAACTCAACTCAGAGCTCAATTGCTCTAAACACCTTCCTGGAGATATAACAGTAACGACAGTAGCTGTTGAATGTCCCGTCTGCCTGGCCCTGGGGAAAGAGGAGGTGGTTTACCCCCTCCATCACCACAATCAATACACTACACACATAGTGCTAGATATTATCACTCTTATTTCCATTCGAGGACGTGCAGCCCAGAGAGATAGTGTGAGTTCCCAAAGTCACACAGCAGGAAGTGGTGGGTCTGACTCACAGCGGCACCTGCCCCCTAGGCTCAGCCTTGCCTTGGGCAGTCTCCGTGTGTCTGTGCAGCCACTGCCACGTTCACACGAGGACTGCTGCTTCCCTGTCCCCCAACCCCTTTATTGGGAAATGACTTGCCTGGTTCCCCTTCCCTTTGCTCCTGAGCTCACCATGAGCTTCTGGAAGATTCTGCCTGGTTCCAGCGTGGTGGCTTCACCCCCAAAACCCTGAGCCCCAGAAGCATGCCTGGAAATCACCTGGCTCAACCCTCCCATTTTACAGAGGGGCAAGCAGAGGCCCATGGAAGGGAGCCGCTGGGTGAGAGCCCCACCAGTGGGGGTGAGCAGGTGGGTGGGCGGGGTCCGCTGTCCCAGGTCCAGTGGGTGCTCTGCTCCCGCAGTACGAGCCCATCGTCACGGAGGGCAACGAGGCCCTGGTGCACCACATGGAGGTCTTCCAGTGCGCAGCCGAGTTCGAGAGCTTCCCCCAATTCAGCGGGCCCTGCGACTCCAAGATGAAGCCGGAGCGGCTCAACTACTGTCGCCACGTGCTGGCTGCCTGGGCCCTGGGCGCCAAGGTGCGTGCCCTTCGCAGCATCTCCCCAGGGGGCCCCCACTTATGCATGAGAGCCTCCAAGAAGTGAGGCCCCCAGGGCAACCCAGGCCCCAAATAACCCCGTCTCCCCACCACCTGTGCAGTTTTGGAATCCCACGTGGCTCTTTTGAGCCATGAATGCCATCCCCAGCCTCCATTACTTTCCTCTAAAAATGCAGGAGCCCCACGACCTAACATTCCTCGTGGGCATCGCTCTCATTTCCCCGATCAAGTTCCTCTGGACTTGGAGGGGTCTGTGCACAGGGTGGTCCCGGGGCTGGCCTCCCTGGGCTGTGTCCAGGGTCTTCCAGCAGCTTTCTCCACCGGCTCAGAGGAGGGTGCTTGGGCGGTGGGCTTGCCTGGGGACATGAGATCTCCCCACTCCCTGACCCCGAGTCTAATAGGAACATTGCATGGACTGATAATGAGCTGCCCATAGGGGGAGAGTCCTAATCTGGCTGCCCCACCAACACCACTCACTGCAGCTCAGGCCCCAGCACATGGGTGGGTATGCCCTGACCACCCCGGGACCCCTCTCTTGACACCCCAGTCTGTCTGCCTGGCCTGACCCTGCCCTCCCTGCTCCCTGCAGGCCTTTTACTACCCAGAGGAAGCCGGCCTTGCTTTCGGGGGCCCTGGGTCCTCCAGATTTCTCCGCCTGGAAGTCCACTACCACAACCCGCTGATGATAAAAGGTAGGGAGCTCCGAGGTGTGCTTCCAGCCTTACCGTCCTCCCCTCGGGAACCCTGGGCGCGGCCATACCCAGTTAGGAAGATAGCCGGGCTGGCGGGGCTTAGCACTGCACCCCTCTCCCCCAGGCCTAGCCTCCTTGTCACGTGGCCCACCGCGGCCTGCATCCCTCTTGTGTCTCTTGTTCACTGCCGGTCTCCTGGGCCTACGGTGGGCTCCCCAGGCAGAGTCTCATGGGCTGGCTCATCCGCACAGTGGGGGCCCAGCATCTTCACCCCTCCCCCTTCATAAATACCAGCTGCCATCAACAC